TCTCCCCACCTCCTCCCCCTCCCACTCTGTCAGATGAAGTGTCCCTCCGGTCCAGGCTGGGCTGGGAGCGGAAACCAGGCTGCTGGCTGGCCTGGAGGAGGGAAGAGGTAGAAGAGGAGGAGTCCCTGGCACTGCCGACGCTCTCCCCTCGACTCAACTGGATCAGGCAGGAGGAGGAGGAGGAGAAAGAGGAGGAGAAAGAGGAGGGAAGGTGAAGGAGGGAAAAGAAACAAGAATCTGAGCAAATAAGAGTAGAGAGCTACATGGGAGTTTAACCATGATTTTCTGCTGCACCCAAACTTCCTCTGACACAACAACCCAACTGCTGCTGGCAATGTTTCTCTGTTGGACAGGAAGTAGCCTCTTTACAGGTCAGCACTGATATTGTTCATAAAGCCCTTTTTTTAGATATTCAACATGATTGCTTTAAGAATATCTAAACACAATGTTAAGATGAAGAAAGGCAAAAATGTCAAACATGGAGAAATGAAGTGTCCAATGCAGGTATCTAACAATAAGGCCAAGCTGTCTGTCACTGGACCTTCATCAGAGCAATTACACTGCCTTTTGTAGTGATTCATCTTCTCTTTTTGTGATGTTTTATCTGTAGAACTTCCTATGTTGGGTGTGCTCCTAAACCCAGAACTGGCGTGTACCAACAGCAACGTGTGCTGCGGGACTGAGTCCTATAATCTGGAAAGTAGATTTTGCATCTCCGCTTCCCTCTCCTCGAAGCCAATGGGATTTTGGTAAGATGGCTGAAATAAGGTCTGTGGTTAACACGAGACTACAGAGGTTGTCTGTGACATTAACCTTTACATCTTCGTTGTGTTTATACTTACATTCTTGCAAACTATTCTAACTCAAATTTGACTTAAATTGTAGATTTTAATTACACTTTGGAAGTTAACTGGTGCAGTTTGTTGAAGGTCTAGTGACTGAAAGCTCATCTTCATATTAGAATTGGTAAACGTGCCAAGTCTTGCTTTCTCAATATTAGACATTCTGTACATTAAGATTTCCATGCCGTCATTTTAGTACAATGGTGTTGCGAGGGTTCAGAAGTCACTAGAAAAAGCAACAGAACACAACGAATAACGGTTGTATGTACGCATTGTCAATAATATTAGTACTAACCAACTGCACAACAAATGCATAATACAGAAAGTAGTTGCAGGGTAGTGCCACCCAAGTCCTTCATTAAACTGACCTTTCCTATGTCTGGCCCTTTTTGGTCTGTACTATATAATAACAGTTGAGCAAGCTTGGTATCTGCTGGACCCTCGGTCAACTTTCCTGTACTATGATATGCTATGTGGTAGCAACTTTCACAAGGCTTGCTCAACTGTTAATGGAG